AGTCACATACACTTTTATTATGACTGTGATTTTTATTGGTAGAGTTGTGAGGCCTCAGCTGAGATCAAAGCCCCACAAGGCTGCAGGCAGACAGGTCATGGGGACAGTAATAGCTCCTGCCCCAAAAGAGAGCAGTGTCTCTGTGGTTGTGTGGTGGCTGCAAAGCTTTTGTTTCCGTGCCACAAAAGTCTCCCTATGTCAGAAATACTCCTGACTTATTTGTTGAGATAGTCCTGTCCCACCCTGAGCAAGAGTGCTGTCATTTGTAGCTAGGGAAGTAATGGTATTATGCTGCTTTGTGCTACTTGTACATGATGGTGTCTTTGTGGCTTCCAGGCCTGGGAACATCTAGTTTTTTTGGAATTATTTAATAGGCATATTCCCTGTGTTAGATGTAGTTAAGGCTGTTCCTGTGTCTTCTGGCTCAGCATTTCCTTGTTATCTGTCAGGATACTTCTGTGACACCCGTGGAGCATTTCTGTGTCTTGTGTCGAGGGTTTATGCTGAACATTGGCTGTGTGCACTCCCTCAGCAGTCCCTGGGGAGGAAAGATATTTCCTGTCACATGTGCAAGGCCAGTCCTGATCATACTGACAGCAACTGTGTGCTCTTTTGTGAGGGACAAAGTGACTGAGGCCATGGTTCACCTCTCAAGCTGTTTGTTAAGATCCATACAATTTAAAAGAGAGTTGTCCCAGTGTTACAGTAACACAGAGTTTCCCTTGCCAATAAAAGGGAACTGGGAAAGATGAAGGTGCTTCCTAATGGTACAGCTACCACAGTTACCTAGGTGGCATTCCCATAGTTATCCTGCAGCTGAAACCTTGCTTCACCCCTTCCAATATCAACTTTCTTGGCAAATCCCCATCCCTTAAGCTTTTACTCCTAGCACTGTTCTTCATCAATAGAAGTAACTATTGCCCACCACAGGGCCATTCCTCATGGGATCTCCTAGTCTTTCCCAACTCAAATTTTGGCCCTGAGCTCTCAGTTGACTAGCACCCACAACCCTTTGATGGACCCCATCTCTTCCCCAAAGTCCTCTCTGCTCCTTTCTGCCACCTTTGCTCATATCCGTGTGGTTGTCAGCTTCCATATGACGTATGACAATTGCGTATAACACAATTCGAGGCTTCCCCTGATAGTCTAACTCAGAGATTCACATGCTTAGAAGAGAACTGCAACTTCTAAGTTGCCAGATATAAGTGTCTGGCCCTTGCAGTTTCAGGGAAAAAATGAAAACACATCCTCTATAGGTTTTGACACCAGAAAACAAATACAGGGGATTTACAATCCTTTAGTTTTGAAGAAAATAAAATGATCTGTGACTGTGAATGTTTCAATGTTAGCAACACAAGACATATAAATCTGTCTCTCAGGATCATCTCTGCAAAATCTTCTCTGCTTCATAAGTAAAATCTATATACACAGTTCATATTATTGCTCTATGAAGTTTGGGATTTCTGTATCCTACCATTATTAAGTCAAATAATATTGCAAGCTGTTTAGACAAGATCCACCTCGAGGTAGCCTACAGGCCTCTGTCAAAATTTTTCTTGCTTTTGCAGATTTTAAAGCCTAGGCCAGGACAGAGTGCCCCAAACCCCCACTCCCCCATCCCCACCACTGTGCCCCCCCGAGCAACTTCCATCTAAATTAAAGCATTGCCTTTCTCCTTACAACTTTTCCACCCCTTTCTACCCATTTGCTTGCTTTGATCATTCCGATTTCTTTTTTAACCCCATTCTTTGCTCTTCTCCTTCCTTCATCCTTTTTTTTCATTCCCCACTGACTGTATAGACTCTTTCTCAACAGCTGGTCCTGAGTTTCACAAATACAAATACATACTTATGTGCGTGTGTACACACACACATATATAAACACACACACAGAGACATAAATAAATAAATAAATAGAAAGGTCAGTGAGCAGAGCAGCAATAACCCCTAAAACAGTACTATCAGAGGGACATGATTGATCAATTGAATTCCATAGCGGCTCAAAAATGTGGGATTAAGTAGTGTATTATACGCACAATGAGTTGAGGCATGATGTTCATTTCAAGTTCATTTCGCCAGCCCTCTGCCACCAGATCAGGCAATCAATAGGGGCAGCAGATATCATATATCACCTCTCTCCGTGCTAGGCAGAGAGCACCATAATCTCTCGCAAATTTAGAGTGACAGATTTGTCAAGATCTGAAGGGCCCCTGAATAAATGAAGGAAAAGAGACTCTTACAGCGACTTGGGAAAGCTGTGATTTCAGCTTCTTCGCACAAAGGCATGGCCTGTGCACACGCGGGAGACACATGTGCACAGGAATCTGAAGACAGACAGGAATAGCAAATACATGTGCATGTGTGCACTAATCTGTGTAACCACCCAGGACAACTCACTAAGGGTAAAACCTGGTTTAACAACAATCAGTGTAGGTTTTACTGTACACCCATCCACTCTCACCAAACACTAAGCAAAGTGTAGGGCTGCCATCCTTCAAAATCAGATATAGCCTAAACCAGCCACCACAGACAAACGCCTGGACAGGCATGTACAGTGATGCAGAATCTAAATACCAGAATAATTATCTACTGCAAAAATACCCATGTGTATTAGCATCGTGGTGTGCACAGTCATGCACACTGACTGACACATGGAAAAATCCTCAAAGACAAACAGCTTCACAGGCTAAAGACAGGTTGAGGCAAGCACTGATACAGAAACATTTTTTTTCTGAGTCTGGACCCAGGAGTTCTGTGCCAGCTTTCTGCAGGGAGGATCAGAACTCCCCTAGTCCTCCTGAAACCCACCCCCCAAAGTAACAGCATCACACACGCAGTGTGCAGTCCACCAAGACTGATCTTTGCTTTGTTTTCTCTTAGTCAAATCTGTCATGAACTCCAGATTTCAGGAACCTGAGAATGTTCCCTTGGGCAAATAAACCTGTGGAGAGGAGAAAATGCCAGGGATCAGTGCCAGTAAACAGCCCTTCTCTGGCTTGGGGTGAAAAAGAAAGAGAGAAGGGGCTGCTCGAGGGAAGGCTGCTGGCAGGGACAAATCAATATGTAATATTTTCTATGGTCTTGCGAGTGGTACTGTACTACGCTACTGTATATAATGTACTATTGATTATATCATATCATATAATCACCTATAAACGGATATATCTCATAGCCAGAAGGCAGCAGGCTTAGTCATAACTCTGGGCCACCAGCTGGGCATTAACGGTGCCAAGAAAATACCCATCTTGGCACCACCCATGAGCTAAAAGAGGAAGCAGCAGAGTGGCATTGTTCTGGGTGTTCATTGCACAGTAAACACCACTCCAGGCTCCTGGAAGCATCATGTGTCCATGAGCACCTTGGGATTGCAAGGAGGAGGGAAAAGGCCTATACAGAACCTTTGACCAATTTCTTGACAGACAGCAAGTTTCTGAGATTCACAGACTGGAGGCCACCAAGAAAGCTTTAAGTACAAGGAATAACAATGAAAAAGCAGGAAGACAATCACAGCACAAGAGGGACAACCTGATCTTAGATTAGTCAGGGTGATTAGACAGCGAGACTTGTGTCTGATGAAGCACAGTAGGCAGAGATTCAGTATGGAGGGTATGGAGGTATATCAGCATGGATGATGCAGGGGATTATAACCAGACTCACCAAAGTTAGGCTGAGATGTGACAGCAGAAAGATACTCAGCACAGTTGGAGAAGATTATAATGAGCAGACTTGCCTCAGATGAGATGAGGGATTATGACAGAGGAAGATTCACTTCAGCTGGGACAGGAGGTTATAACAGACAGACTCACCTTGGATGTGACAGATGCTAATAGCAGGAGACTCACTCACTTGAGATAAAAAGGGGTTATAACTGAGATAAATGCACCTCATTTGAGTTGGGGGATAACAGGGAAGGAAAAAAAAACACAAAACCAGGTAGGTGATCAGATGGTTTATCACAGGAAAAGATTCACTTTGGATGGGCCAGGGCATTTATAATGGACTCACCTCAGAGGGGATGAGTAGGCTGTAAGAGATGTGAGACGGCACAACAGAAATAGAGACACCCTGGAATGTGGCAGGAGGCACTGCAGTGAGATTGGACTGTGTCAGAGGGCTGTTGTAGGGGCAGAAATGCAGTTCTGGGAAAGCTTCTGCCAAAATGGCTATTTTCCTAGTAAAAGGAAGGCTGATTCCCACTGAGTAGGACTAGGTTTTGTAATACATTTTGGATAAGAAGGAGGACTGACAAAGATTCATCTCATTTTGGAGGGAGTTTTATAGCAGATATATGGGTTAAGATAAATCACGAGCTACATGTAGGCGAATGGACAGAAACCAATGTATGTTAGACGGGACAGTTGCCCCACAGGGAGAGATTTGTCTCTGGTGAAACATGGAGTCAGAAGCAGGACTGTTCCTATTATCTGAAGGGGAGGAAAGACTCATCTGGGGTAAGATCAGATGAGAAGGAAATTATAACACTGATAGCTGTTCATGGGACTGGGGAGCTACAACAGAGACTGACTTCCCTTCAAGCTGTAAGAGAGCCTTTTTAACATTGCAGGCTTCCTCAGTCCTCTCCAGTACAGTCCATCCTCAGCACTCTGGCTTCTCTATGAGCTGCCCCTCCACCAGTCTTCTAGCGGTGCTAATCGCTGTGCTTTGCTCCCATTTTATGCTCAGCAATGGAGATTTGGCAATTTTTAACACTGAAAATCAGCGGAACCGAAACTCATCTCTGAGCCAAGCACCATTCTCCACAGCCTCACTCATTCTGGGCAGGAGAGTCCCACAGAGCCCACAGGAACAGCCTAGCCACTCCAGCAGAGAGGAGGGGGCTCCCTTGGGTCTCTGCAGCTTCCCCTTCCCTCGGGAGTGGCACAGCTACCTGGGTGGAAGCAGAGGGCCCCACTCTTCCCCACTCTGTCCTTGTCCTGCATCCCTTGCCAATCCAAGCCAGGGTGGTGCTAACTCCCTGTTTTCTCTGTCTGTGCCCTGCAGATGTATCCGAGGGCTCAGTTCCCAATGGAGATTCCCAGAGCAGCGTGGACAGTTTGCGGAAGCACCTTCGTGGCGACACTTTCACCCAGCAGCAGCTGGAAGCTTTAGATCGAGTTTTTGAGCGTCCTTCTTACCCTGACGTCTTTCAAACATCAGAGCACATCAAATCTGAGCAGGTGAGGGCCTGGCCTGGTAATGGGAAACCACAGGCACTGATAGAATGATGGTAGGGACATTCTTTCACCAAAATCCCTCTCCCCCTCTCCACCCCACGTTCTGACACTGACCTATTATTGCACATACACCACATTTACATTTTACAGCACTTTCTAGTTGTAACTATATCACTGTGCTGATGCTCGTGTGTACATGAGCTCTACCTCCTCTCTGCACTCACACTGTGCTGTCCCTAAATCCCCATATCCGCTTTTCCCTCTGCACTCACACCTGCAGTTATGCATCCATGTTCTTGCCATGAACATGCCTGCACCACCATGCATGTTCAGTGGCACACACCACTGCACAGAAACTCCTGCACTCTTAGGTGACATCAGTGACCAGCGAGCCACAGGGTTGGGTTTTAATGGATCATTTTCCTTCGTGGCCCAAAGCTGAGACTTGACTCCCATCTCCAACCTAGTTTTCCACACTTCTGCAGCTCTGCCCACCTTTTCTTTACTCCCCCGCTCTCCTGGCCTTTTATCCCAAAAGCTGTTTGTCTTAATAAAATGAAAATCAAAAGTCTTTTTAAACCGCCCCAAGCCATAAACCAACAAAGGAAGAGAAGGAGAGGCTGGCTGTGGACTCCCTTCATCCCAGAGTCCCTGGGTTTATTACAATGAATAACCTTTATTTACTTTCATTAGACTATTAAGCACCAGCACAGTCATTTTTCCCCCTGAAACTCTGAGCAGGGCCCATAAAGCAAATCCGAAGCCTAATTGAGTTCATTTTAATTTCTCTCCGATCACAGCGAATTACTCTGGTGATAAATCAGGGGGCAGGCTCACCCCCAGTAGAAGGCCTAATTTGCAGCTAATTACAAAACTGATTTCTACAGGAAGATCAATACAAGAAGGAATTGGAAATGACTAGGCAGTCCTAGCCAAGCAGGGACAGGGGCGGGGAGGGGGCAGCATGCGGGGAGCCCACTGGAGGAGGGGGAGATGTGAGGAGGGGGTTGGGGAAGTGCATGGAAAAAAACAGAGGAGAAAGAGCAGAAAATCAGTTTTAATTTAACGTAATATTAATCAGAGCAACTTTTCCTGCTGTTTTGTAGCCTTCCCGGTTTCTCCAGCTCCCGCGTCTGGTCTGGAGGCTGCCACAATAAAAAGGCAATTACCAGAGCCTTTCGGACAGGACACCCTTTCAGATTCAATGGCTCTCCCCCTCCCACCCTTCTGTTAGCCATGTGGCTCCCCCCTCCCCAATTTCATACCCCAATGCACAGAGTGACAGAGGCAGGGGATGAGGCTTCTTTGTTTTTAAAAAGCTAGGACAGAGGTAGCAGTGGAGGGGAGGCAGATGACTCAAGCAGAGACCCTGGCGACAGTGGGCCAAGACTGGCTGCTTTCTACAGCCCGCCTGTCCCAGTCATGTCATTGCAGTCCTATGCCCCAGCTGTCTTTGTCACCAGGGCAAACATCTCCCACCTCCACTCAGCCAAGAGGAGGGGATGAGGATTCCCCCTTTCTTTTCCCCTGGGCTGGCACAGACAGCCATCCCCACAGCTCTGAACGAAGGCTCAGCCATATCACAGAAAACAGGTCAGATCCCTCACCCCTCTTCCCCTTCACAGTGTCATGCAGGTGGGTGGGATAGTTCATCCTAGGAACCCCCCACAACCCTCTTGTCACTTTATCTTCTCCATTTCCTCCTCCTCCTCCTCTTCCATCTGTGCAGGGGTTTGCATCTCTCCTCTTCCTCCCCCCCATCTGTACACCCTTCCCTTTCTCCCGTCGCATCAATAGCGAGCTGTCTTTCTCCTCTCTTCCCCAGGGTAATGAGTACTCCCTCCCAGCTCTGACCCCTGGTCTCGATGAAGTCAAATCAAGTCTATCCACCTCTGCTAACCCAGACCTGGGGACAAATGTGTCAGGACCCCAGACGTACCCTGTGGTGACCGGTAAGCTGCCTGACCAAACAGCAGAACCAAGCTTTTTATTTATTTCCCTCATCACCATTAGCTTCTGCTTTTTCTGCTAATGCAAGATATCCCTCTGTGGCAAACATGGAAAGAGACAGAAAGACTGTGGAGAACATAAGGGCTCAAGAGAAGCTTGAAATTCAGAGTATTGGCAGTTTTGGGTACACCTAGATGTGTCCAGGTGTGACTCAAAGACAGGAAAACCCAGATGTGAATCGGGAACTTGTGTGCCCAGATGGGACTTAGAGTTGGATGCTGGTGGAGGACAGATATGTCCAAATATGCACTGTGATTTTTTTCCTGTGTATCTGAGAACAACAGGGTCATGGCTTATCCATGATCTGCACTTGGTTTTCTCGGGGAGAAATTATAGTATAAGTTCTATTCAGCCCTGGCATTTGGAAGGGGCATTTGCAAATTAAATACTAAGATCTGCTGAACTGTGACTGCTAAACTCCCTCTTCCTTAAGCCCATGAGTCTCTAATGAAAGCTAGCCTTCCCCCATGTGTGGGCACATTAAAGTCAGGTGTGTCTGGGAGAGTGGAAACTGTGTGTAAGTGCATGACAGCAGAGGAATCAGGATGCACAGAAATAGTAGGGAATCTTTGCAGCAGATGCTTCACTGAAACTTCCTCTTTGCTGGTGGCACATGCAGAACCTGAGCAGCACAGGATTGTCCTGGGGCCACAAGGCACACACATGCTGTCATGATATTAGTGTTAGACTGCCTGCCCTGCGTATGTCTAGAGCTGTAAGGAGGTATTCTGGTGCCTTTATTCATGTGGTGCTTAATTCATACAGCACTTCCTCTCAGGCTTTAGTTGCCAGTGCTTGCTGCTCACACAGCTACCATAGATTTGCACATCTCCTCTTGGGTAGCTAAAGCAGCTGGCAAGGCTCGAGTGACTTGCCCCTGATTGGTATATCTCTCTTTCTCTACAAATGCTGTGGCCAATCTAAAAACCTCATGGCGTAAGTTGAGAAACAACTCATGACAAAGAGGTCTAAATCCTGTTAGCAAGGGGAGAAGCTGTTGTCTCTTGGCCAAAAAGTTGTCCTCTAAAGGCACAGAATCAAGAGCACTGGTGTTTGTATCTCAACTTTTTCTTGCAAAAGCCCCAGCTAATAGCCCTTGCTGTCAAAGCAGCTCATGGCTGAGGCAGGTAGTCATAGCTTGTTCAGCAAACACGGAGCAAAGGCATGTTGTTGCATGCAACTTTTGGCTACCAAGAACTTTGGAACCAGGCAGGATTAGTAACAGTTAACTCAAATACAGAGGCTATCCAGTGTGAGGTCTACAAAATGACGTGGAGAACAGAGGGAGATGAACTACATTATTTAGGGAACATCTAGAAAGCGTGACATCTCCTGACTTTTTTCATGGCTTTTACTGCTATCAGGCTCGATTCAGAATCCTTGTAGCTGTGCAGTTTCTTAGCCAACCGGAAAAAAAAAGGCTTAGCTGTGGCAAAATTGTTCTACCTTTCTTTTTATTTGCATATGCAAGGCAAAACTCAGCTGGTGTTCATCTATTGTTTAGCAGATCTACATCTCTTACAGGAAATATTTTCCTGGTTTGGGGGGCAAAGCCAGTAGGAGAGCAAGGCAGATCCCCACAGCTGGATGTAAAGGTGACGCATCTACAATCAGAGCCTAAGATTCAAAGGGGCCATTAAAATAATTCCTTTTAGTCCTTCTTCCTAAGTGAAGATGGTTCACTCCAGCCTGTTAATGTGAGAGCAGGCTTCTAGAAGGCTGGGAACACTACACAAGCTTTGGACATTACTCTCACATGGGCACAGAAGGAGACAGATTTGGCCTCCCAGAAGAGACTATAGACTAAGGCAAAAAATTTCTTCATGTCCCCCCCACCCTGTGCCATTCTCACTCTGTTCCCTGCCACATTCCCAGCTCAGCTCGAGAACATCCCCATCTGATCCATCTGGATCCAAAAGTGAGAAAGTTCATTTCAGACCCAGCTTGACATTCCCAGGTGGCAACTTAGCACTAACATCTCAATCTGTATGCGACATTTCAATCAGTGCAGAGTAACAAAAGCAGAACTTTTAGCACTGGGAGCTGTTCACTGGTGGTAATGATGGAGAAACTCAGAAACTGGAAATGAAAAGGGAAAAAAAAGCCCCTTGACACCCTGTAAGGCATCAGGGGAAGAGGGGCAGAGAGTTTTTCCTCTACACTTAGGCCAGGATCCAATGTTTGGATTAATGGTGCCATTACCCAAGAAAGGACTTCAGATAATGCTCATTCTTAAAATGTTTTTGCTGGCAATTAAATGGTTGCAGGTATTGATCTTCATTGATCTGATGTTCTCAATTTGCATAATCTATTAAAGATGAATGATTCATTATATGTTTGCTATGGGGCTGGACAATGCTTTTGGGAAGAACCTGAGAGGTGAGGAACTCAGTGCTGCCTCTTGGTCTACCCTAGCTAGGATATTAAAGAAGTGGCTGACAGCATACAGATTTCTTTGGTATCACCCAGGTCCTGCTCCCAAGCAGGGATGTTGGAGTAATAGTGGATACTGAATTGCTGGCTGCCTGTTTTGCTGCTATGGTGTCATCTTTGAAATGCCTCTTTGCTCTTTCAGGTGATACCTGTAACAAATATGAAACGAATCTATCCATTTAGGGTATTCTGTGTGCAGTCACTTCATGATGTAAGATTTAGCTTCACTCTACAAGAAAGTCTCCCCACCTCAGTCTTCCCAGACAGAAAAAATGTATTGCTAGTTCTTTCCAAACCAAAGCTGTACAGCACTGGATTCTTGTCCTTCCTGAAGACTTCAGAGAAAGTCCTTCTCTTTGGCTCATGACTAGCTTTTCTCAGCAAGCTGTCTCAGCTCACACCATTCTGAGAATACAGCCCTCCAAAAGCCATCAAAACCTCAACAATATGTAGCTGCCTAAAATCTTGAAATGCAGTGAGATAAGGAACAGTGTTGCTCAAGTCTCTTTATCTGTCTGTGGGCTTCCTGGAATTGAAGACCTAGAAATGCTGCAAAACAGGCAGCCACCAGAAGGCCTTCCCCAAAGTCCTGGGCATCTATTCAAAGACATAGCTTAGCACCACAGTTTTATACAGCACAGCCTTGTCTAGTACTGCCAATATCAAACACTTCCTTTCAGACAATTATTCTACTAACACATCTTAGATGCCCCATTTATTACTCACATCTCCTAAAGCAAGTAAACAAAAACATTGTTTTACTATGGAGAAAACAGGTCACCCTTATTTCTCCCCATTAAGTATGTGCAAAGAATTTCCATTAATGAGTTGACACTTAGGGACTAACTGGACACTAGGCTAGGAAACATGCTGCTGCTGTCCTTCATACTGAACAGACAATGCAGAAATTTTCAACTCAGAGAGAGAAAGCTCTTAAGAGCTGCCTGAGTATAACACCTCCTCTTTCCGCACACACAGACAGTGCACCAGCTATATCCTGCCTTGTTGTTGCATGGCCCTCATAGCTGGATTGGCGTAGATCCCTGACAATTTCTTGGACAGTATCTTTGGACACCAATCAGAAGCAAAGATCCAAGCTTGAAAATACCAAGATAAGGAGAGTACATGCAGTTGAACAACATTACAAGATTTCTGTTGTTCAGAGTTGTGCTACTTCAGTTATTTCTATTGAAGGCAAACAGTCCAGGCAGATGAGTATAAATCCGTACAGGACTAAGTAAACACAGTAAACCTCAATAGCTTTCTGTTATTCACTAGTTTCCACAGACCTTTGAGTTTGGAAGGTACTTGGTAGCTAACAGCCAAGAGGTAAGCAGAGGAGAACCTCAAGACAGGAGGAATTGCACAAAGCATTCACACAAGCCTTGAATCAAGAAGAGAACAATTAGATACTTCTTTAAGCACCATCAGAAGTCACAGCTTCTGGAATAGTCATGTATGAAAGAAGAGGGGTGTATTCAAACCAGGTTTTGAGTTCTGGGGACTTAGATTAATAGTTTGGGAACAGAGACCTTTCCAACTCAATTTCTAGCCCAGGAGTTATCCAACAGAGACACAGCACTATGGCAAATAAAGCACAATGGACTTTTCATGTATGGCTTGAAACTTGCTCATTAAGAGACCACTAAAGGAACAGATTTACCTGCTAAATGGGATGTAAAATGACAGCAAAGGTGAAGAAGAATTTCCCTTACAGTTGAATCCCAGCAGTTTTTACTAAATAGACCTTGTTTGCAAGCCCACTACAATCTGTGAGATCTACAAAGAAAAGGTAGAAGATAAGATGGGGAAAAAAAATCACTTCAGGAATTTCTACTGTTGACTGAAATGGAAGTATGTGTCCCATTCTCCTCCCGTGAGGAGGCTTACGAGTGCTTCTGTTCTACAGTTAGCACCTATTAACAGGAATAGAGAACTTTGAAAGTCATCACCACGCACCAAAGCAGCTATCACGTCCTATCCAGAAAATGTTTCCTTCTCTCTGGGAAATAAATATTTCCCTAAAACAACAAGTATCATCCAGGGTGAGAAATCCTGGCAACAACTCACAATGTGTCGAACACAGGCACCAAAAAAGCACAAACCTCATCAATTTCCCTTTCCTTCAGACCTCTCCTCTCTGGCACGGGTTCAGATTTTTTTCAGTTTAATTTTTTTAATTCATATATTAATGTATGCAAAAAAAAATACTGGAATTACTGACATAAAGGCTACTTGCTATGTCTGAAAAACATAGAAAAACAGTACTTAAACAGCATCTGATTTCTATGAAAGTTTTCAAGAAAGCTGTGATGCTAAGCATGGAGAAATCACTGGCTAGACACCTGGATCCAAAATTTTTCTGAAATGATAAACAATCCTTTGAGAACTTTAGCCTCCTTCAAGGTGAAGATATTTCCTTCCTTAGAGATTAGTGAGTGACTGAAGAGAATTTTGTTCTGTTCAATAACCTGGTCATTCAAAACTAAGAAACAAATTAGGATTTGAA